CTCGTTTATATACAGTAAAACCTTGATATACTGTCCCTCGTTTATTAAAACAGTAAAACCATGATATAACGCCCCTTGTTTATATACAGTAAAACCTTGATATAATGCCCCTCGTTTAAATACAGTAAAACCTTGATATACTGTCCTTCGTTTATAAAGACAGTAAAACCATGAAATAACGACCTCGTTTATATACAATAAAACCTTGATATAATGCACCTCGTTTATATATACAGTAAAACCTTGATATACTGTCCCTCGTACATATATACAGTAAAACCTTGATATAAAGTCCCTCGTTTATATAAAGTAAAACCTTGGTATACTGTCCCTCGTTTATATATATAGTACAACCTTCATATGATGCCTCTAGTTTATATACAGTAAAACCGNCTGTCATAAGTCTGTCTGTCAACTTTTTCTTTAAATTACTTTTTTGAATTGAAAATCACAGGGCCCTTATATTTGATCAGCAAGTACTTGGGATAAATACTTTAAAGTTTCATCATGTAGATTACCTTGACCTTCTTTCAAGGTCACAGGTGTCCAAAACAGGCATCAGTTTCTTAAAAAAACTGGTCTTGAGTCATGATATTTCATGATGATTATATTTTATTCAGTATGCCTTTGCATTGCTTTGTTCAAAAAATATTTTTTTCAAATCGTTCCATCAAATATATGTACATGTATGTAGATATATGTAATGACAGCATACTTGTTGATAACTTTGTCGTAGTGATTGTTTTGTTAACTTTTATGCATATTGATATTTTTTTATGAAATTAAATCATTGACTGATGTAAATATGTATGTTGTTATTTATCTTCATTTGTGTATGTTTGCCTCACAACAGAAACGTATACGTCTCTGCTCACAAGTAAGATTTATTATTCCCAGCCCCTATAGCTACTCAATGAAGTTTACAGAGGATGAATAAATGGAATGGTCTCGCCCTCCATTCCCATTAAGAAAAAGTGTTGGGTCCATTTCTGGGTACATCTAGGTAATACATGCATAATGATGGCATCAATGACACAGCTATAGGGACACTAACTAATGTGTGTAGATGCTGGATTTGACTTACATTTTAGACTCCAGTGACTTCCTTCTACATTGTACATCAGTGCACATTAAGAAAAGTTGTGTAAGTCCATATCTCGGTAACAAAAACTATTATATGGGTAAAACTTTAATTAATGATGGAGGTAGGGTTGCTCTCCTGAATGCATGATGAGGATGCTTAAGCTGACCTTTCATTAAACACTTCAGTGCCTTTCTTTTATTTTAAATATAAATGTAACAGGAAAGAGAATAGTGTGCTTCTACCGGGGATCAAACCCTTGATCTCCAGGTTGCTAGTTGCTACTCTACCACTGAGCTAAAGGGAAATTCCCTCTAGCTCGAAGCTAGGAGGCGACCTTAATCCTATGTACAATTGAACCCTGCCACGTACACTACTCCAACCTTTTAAAATGTGTTCGGACACCTGCGCAACCTATGTTCTAAAATATAACTCCCTGTCACTACAGGAAGAGCCACAGACACCATTTGTAACAAGAAAGAGAATAGTGTGCTTCCACCGGGGATCGAACTCTCGATCTCCAGGTTCCTAGTCGGACGCTCTACCACTGAGCTAAAGGAAAATTCGCTTTAGTTTGAAGCTAGAAGGCGACCTTAATCCTATGTACAATTGAACCCTGCCACATAAATAAACTTTAACCTTAAAAGGGAATTGCATATCTGGGTAATTGTAAATGCTGCATAAATGTTCAGTGTTGCAAACTAAATATATTTGTCATTATATTAGAGCAATTAAAGGTTATTTATTTGATTTGAATTATTCTGTTAGAAATATATGACCATTCACAATTGTATAATTAATACTACAGAATTAAGTCTGTGAATTTACTAAATTTTGACATGGACTTGTCTATGAAGCAGTGGATATTGATGACAGCACGTTTTTGTTGGGTTTGAAAGTATGTATGATTTTGTTTTGAACATTCTTATCAAAAACTCCTGTTTCATTGGTATGGACAAAAACACATAATGGTTTACTCTGATTGACTCTAAAAATAACTTGTTAAGTGGAGGAAGTTGGTTCATATTCTTCTCTTATCTTTCACCTATGGTAATCTTGCCCAAAAAGCCACTTCAAACTCTTCTCCAAACTTAAGCTAAAACGTATATATAAGAATAAGACATGCACAGTACAGGTGATAAAGAATTAATTGTAATTGGGGTGGTGGTGGGGTGAGATTGTCATATAGGGTGTAATTAAGAGATTGTTATTAATTACATATAGTTACTGCAACATTTTACCTACATAGATGTATGAATACATTATCTTATGATACAATTCCTTTTGCTTATTTTTTTTTCACTTTTGTTTTTAAATGTGTGTATTGGAGTGGGGAAGAAAAGCTCTACGCTCTGTCAATATTAGACTCGCATTAAGTTTATGTGATTATTTTCTGGACTTGAGCAAGTCTAATTGTTCTTCTTGTACGCCTTAAAATGTTTCTCGCACTGTCCCAGTCTACATCAATATTGACGGCGTCATTAATATGTTCTTGAACATATATTTAATTTATGCAGTAATGAATATAAGAACCTTAAAAATACAATAGTCAAAACGTAAACAAATAACGACATTGCGTCCGTACGGTGATCCGGATGCGGTTGGGGAGCGGTCCGTGTATATTTAAGACGATCGCAGCGCAGCTTGTCGTCATAATGAGGAAACCTCTCGTATTTCAACTGCTGGCTTACTCGTTTACTATTTGACTAGCTAGCTATTTCTGAATTAAAAGTTTGTTTCGAATTTCTGTTTTTACAAAAATGACGAATCACGTAAGTCTGGAATGGATTGAATACTACAAGCTAACACGAAATCGCGATCGGTAAAACTAGCATAGCATGGAATGAAAACTAGCAAAGCATGGAACGAACACGTAATAGATTTGTAAACGAGTACAACAACACAAATGTACATAGAATGGAAAAAGACACTTATCAACTAGGGAATTATATAATTAATACAAATGAACATAGAATTAGATTCCAAACCAGAAGTAACTAATTCTATAACTTATCAACTAGGGAAATAATACAAATGTACATAGAATTAGATTCAAAACCAGAAGTAACTAATTATATAACTTATCAACTAGGGAAATAATACAAATGTACATAGAATTAGATTCAAAACCAGAAGTAACTAATTCTATAAAAAAAAAATTATGGCGGTGATCCCCTTCCATAGATATCATAACTGCATGTGGTAGTGACTCTTATAAAAAAAAAATCCAAATACATTATAACATTTCATTATTTATTGAAGTAAAACGCGAGTAAATATATGAGTATTGTATGATATACTGCTTTGTTAATGATGTTTGATTTACAAATACTCCATCATTTTGTTCAAAGGCATTCAAACTGTCATCGTTATTAAGGATCCCTGTACCACTGACTATAAAACACGGGAGAATTCCACTGTTAGTTTCTGACCATACCGTATCCTCCCTTAGATTCTTATTTGTGTATAACTGTATTGCGACTAGGAAGTAAGAACCACTGACCAGGTACCAGTAGGTGTGTTGGTTGAAGCGTGCAGTAGTATAGTTACTGGAGGTCCAGGGTTCGAATCCTGATCTGGTTCCATTGTCACTCAGAACACTGTTAATAATTCTTTTAGTTTAGTTCTTTTTGATATGTTCAATTTTTAGATAAAAATCTGCAAGGTATGATTTTATTTTCAGAAATGTTTAAATCATGAGTACGATTTTGGGCAGTGGTACAGGGTTCCTTAAAACATTTTACTCAATTGTGTCAAACAATTTATTAATTACTTTAACACATTCAATACGAAGATGAAAAAGACGTGTGAAGGATGATTTCAAATGTACATTGTTCGAATCTCTTAAAATCGTGTGAATTTCTTTGGTAAGGCGTTGGAGGCAATCTCGGATCTGTGTGATGTTTTGATTTTTACACATCTCTAGGAAGACTGTGGTGTATTCACAGATGAGAGACGCCTCCAGATATACGCCGATCATACTCGTAAGGAATGGGTGGGTTTTATCCGTTACACAGGTGTGCTGGTGTGACTCGGGCAATTCAAAGTTTTCCAGTTCTGCACCGATCCCTGCATCCTGACGTCGTTTATATGACCTCAGTGTTCTACACATACCTCGAATAGTAGACGACATAACCTTCACCTTGGAAGGGTTGCGCCAAGAGCGAATCATCACGGCGCGTTTGTACCAGTCAGGTTGGTCATTATTGGAGCAGCCATTGATGCGTTGGACAATCTTCTCTTTTTTTGCTCGATAATTATCACCATCAGTACTATACATATCACCCTTGTAACAACGAGTCCGTGGATGAGAGTCACATGTTTTGAGACATCCCCAACAGAAATTAGTGCCGCATATGCATGACATGGTAAAACAACCACCTTCCTTTTCAATGAAAGTTTTGCAGACAGGGCAGCGCTTTCCGCGGACGGTAAACGTGAAAACTTTTTCAGTTTTGGCGTCTTTGTCAATATGTCCGTGTTCCTTTAATTTCTCCAAGTACTTGTCGTGGTCTCTACATGACAGTGGCCAATGAACTGGTTGTAAGCAATCGAAACAAAACGCTGTTCCGCACTCGCAAGTGACATTCATGATTTGTCCGATTTCCTTGTTTTTATATCTAATAACACGTCCACACTTTTTATTTGGGCACCACTTGGAGCTAGCTTCTTTGTCAGTCTCCTTGTCAATTAGACGTTGGAATACTTTTTTCACTATTTGTATATTTGATGTTGTAAGCAAGATGTCGTAATCAACAGTAGATTGGCATTTATATTCTGGGCATGTGATTCGCCTTGTGCTGCAACCGGCTGTCGTGATCACATGATCGTTCCAACAACTATCACAAAACCAATGTCCACAGGTCTGTAGGGCGGTCGCTGGACTATCAAGAATGGATTCAAAACAAATAGAACAAGTATCAGGTGGAAGTGACTCAAAGTCAACATTTACCATCGATGTATCATGTTTCTTTCTGTTTTCTTTCAGTATGTCTCTGATGGTGATGTTTTCTGGGGAAACAGATGTAATCTCTGTGGTATACAATTTCAAAATATTGTGGTTTGTTTTAGCTGGTATGGTTTTGGGCGACGGTATATCCTTAGAAACAAAGTTGCCACAGAGGATAGTTGCGATATAGGATATAGCCCCCTGAATTATTTCTTCAATTCCAAATACACCCTTTTCAGGAAGAGTGTTTAATTTGAGGCACGATTGCGTTGTTTTCATGTTGATGGAGACTTTGAATGAGTCCATGTCTGTACTGTCGAGACTTCCAAACATATCGTAAGCAAAGACTAAGACTGCTGAGAGTTCAACTATATTCATATCTCTATTTTGGAAAGCTTTAAATTTCAAAATTGTGCTTGTTACTTTCTCGGTAATGTCAATGACGAATTTACGTGGGAAGCAGCGACATTCGATATAATTTTCACCAAACACTTCCTGAAGATGTCCCGTTAGCACTTCTGTTTTTGGTATGAAGATAGTGATATGTCTTGGTATTGAAGTAGTTAAGGAAGGGCGTGTCATTGAATGACCCCCTGTCGCTCCATTCTCCATCTCTCGTTCTTCTGCAGGTGGATGTTTGTTGTATTGTTTTCTCAGAGCATCTGTACTTTTAGACGAGATCAGTTCTCTACAGAGTAATTCTTGCATGTCGTTAGAATGAAACAGGATGTCGCCGACGCACAACGTATTTGGACGTGGTTTGTAAGCGTCCTCGTCAGGATCTATATCATCGTCTTCATTCTCGGAATAGTCAAATTCATCCTGGCACTCATCCATTGCCATATCCATGAACATCTTCGTTCTCTGTGTCCTTGTTCTGTTTTTCAGACGATTTGATTCTTTGTGGAAAGTTTCGCTCGTGTCATCATCACCCTGTGTCGATGTGTAATCGAGGTATTTAGAATAACGTGCGAGTGAGCTCGTCGTCGGACACAGAGTTATAATCTCTACTGTAGGAGCTGATGTCTTACATTCGAGGCTATTCAAATCAAAGTAAGTTTTCTTAGGTGAAACCTTTCTCGGAAAGCCATCATTTGAATGGAACCGTGTGTATTTGATTTTGCGTTTCAGCTTATGACATTCGACAAGGTCAACTTTGAAATTTTCATCACTGTTGTTTAATTCGTGTTTCAGAATCTGAGGTACCAGCCATCGTCCTTTCTTGTTGAGAGAGTACGCGACATTGTTTCTGTTCAACCCAAGGTCATCCAAGACAGCTGGGTTGAGGTTATACGTTGATAGGCGTACCAGATTGACTGTCGTCTGTACAGGTGGCTGCCCCTATTAAATAGAAAGATCAGTAAAAACGTTGCCGAAACAAAATAAAGATGCACCGAGATATACAATTATATTTAAATATTTATTCATTTATTTTATATATATTATTGTTACGTTTTCCTATTGATAACATATATCTATTCAGTGTAAGTAAACAACATTTCCAGAAAGCAAACGATGTATTTAAAACTTTCAAATGTATTGACAATGGAGTTTTTTAACATGCATCTTAATCCAATTCATAAGACCAAGACGACGAAGGAGAACTTAACATGTTTTTTTTCTAGATAAGTGTTACATTTGTTGTCCTGATTTGTTTGAAACATTCATGGGCGATATGGTCTATATACCTTCATTGAAGTATGACGGATATGTAATTAACATCAGGTAGTTTTTGAAAACATATATACCAGGCATTAAGTAGAGTGGTCTTTTCTTACTCTCACTCGTGTAAGTGAGTGTAAGAAACGACAATTTTCGGCAGAGAACGACAAGGTTCTAGCCCTAAACTGTTATCATATTTTATAAAATGGAGTTACTGCCCTTCCAATTACATGCTGAATAAGGCAGTGGTAGATTGCTATTGAAATCGGAGAACATGATTGAACACGTTTCAGTTAAAATATAATTCAATCCACATAGGCATGTTTTGGAAATTGGCACTTATTTCGACAAGAGTATAATATGCAATTCCAAAAGTCAATTGTGTTGATCATATCTGAACATATCAGAATTACAGATGATTGCAATGAAAGTAGGGAGTCCAATATGAAAAGATACAAATGCTGGTGAGGTTTTTCTTCATTCTTCACAGAATAAGATGTAATATGTATAAAGGGATTGTACCTAAACCTTCGTGTTAAGTACTTTACACAATGACAACTTAAAACCATATGAAATATGTTTTATAAATGATATGAGACAGCCTTAATTGCTATTTTAGCTCGATCTATTCGTCAATGTTTTTACAACAAAGTGGCGATTTAATCGTACCTTAACAGTAGCCCCCAACATCAATCAACAAAATGTTATTAATTAAAAGTATCATACAAGTATAAATATATATATATATACATAGGAAACGTTGATTTTGAATAAATACAACTGTGAAAATAACATGGAAATCCCACGTTATACTAGTAAAACAAGTAGGGATAGCCACTTCAAGGAAACCCCTATACACTGTGTTAAATGTATAGCCAAACAACCTAGTATAAATAGCTCTCGTATAGATCAGCTGACAAGCTTTGCTGAACCTTTTCGTTGTCACACAAAACTAACCTTGTATTACATGTTCTAAGAGTATTTCCGGAACTGACATGACACCTGTCTTCCTTGTCCACCATGTTGAGTATAGTAGGTATTGTAGATGTACTCGTGCACATTGATTGATTGATTGATTGATAGGTTTAACGTCCGCTTAACTACCGGATGTATCGGTTATCTAGCAGACGATATACTCGTGCACAGCAGACGATCTCTATATAAACACCGTCTTGTGTTTACATCTGGTGGTGCAATACCCGATTGCGGCGTTTTCATTGGTTGATAATGTTGTATTAAACTATTTTTAGAATCACTTAGAATCCTATACGAGTTCAGTATTCTGTCTTCGCTGGTCCAAAACAATGTAATGTACTATATTTAGAATCACTGAGAATTTACCTATACAGTGTATATAATTACAGAAGCAGTATTCTTTTCAATTCAAAAGGAAGAAACTGAGCACATGAGTCCATATATTACTATCAATGGCGAATTTGTCTTAATGATAAAGTATGGATTATTTATTTGAAAATTATATACATTTAATTTTTCAGACAGGTAATATCTGCAGATGTGCGGTATTGTGTAATATTTTCTCATCATAGCAGTCTGTACTTTAGAACATTATTATTTAGTTCAAGCAGAACGGTATTTACCTGTACTTTTGAACAGTAATATTTAGTTAAAGCACAACGCTATTAATCCCCCTACGATAAATTAATACGTAATCTCTCAATGAACGGAGTCTAATGATTTGTTTTATTTACAGTTTATTCAAGGTGTAATATAAATTTTGTTAATAGTTTTTAAAGTGTACGTATTTACCTATAGTTTTCATTTAAAGTAGTTTCAACGACTTGTTTGTGTATGTCCGGTTTTTTTTTTTATTTGTAAGAGACAGGATATTGAATTATATATAACAGCTATTATGATAAATATCATTTGCAGGTCTGCTTTACATACCTGTCAAAATAAACGGGATTCCATTTCCCCATGATGCTCCAATTTAAAAGTAGGAAAAGTTCATTATGAAACTTCAGGGTGAATGAGTTAACCCAGTAAAATAATGTCCACCCATTGTATTACCGCTTCAACAGGTGTACTTCTGTTTCACACATCAGTGGTGAAATGTTTTAGCAAGTGCCACAACGTTTCCCATAACGTTTCACTTAGCATTTCACGTATTTTACTATGGTTCACTCAGGGTTCTAATATTTCACACAGTGCACATATGTTTGAGTCCTTGCATTGATTGTTCACCTTATTTAGTAATATTGCACCTAGTGTTTTAGTATATAACTCATTGTACTTATATTTTACCACGTGTATTAATGTTTTACCCAGTGTACTTATATTTCACTCAGCGTATTAATGTTTTATCCAGTGTACTAATATTTCACCAAGCGTATTAATATTTTACCCGGTGTTCTTTCAGTGTATTGGTGTTTTTACATCAGTGTATAAATAGTTCACTCTTTTGCCTATGTTTCACCCGCGTGGTAACTAATATTTCACCCGGCCTGTTAATGTTTTACACAGTGTACTTATAGTTCATCCTACGTATATATGTTTCAAACAGTGAACTAACATTTTACCAAGTGTAATAATGTTTCAGTCAGTTTAATCTTTTATCAAGTGATATAACGTTTCACGTGTTCTACTTATATTTCATTCAGCGTATTAATGTGTTAAAGGTGTGATTATGTTGCGCCTGTGTATTAATATTTCACCTGTGTGTCTTTTGTTTCATTACTAATGTTCTTATTACCAAATGTACAATTTTTTCACTCTGTGGGCTTACGTTTAACGTGTGTTACTAGTGAACTAATGTTTCATTTGATGTAAGAGCGTTCAATCAAGTGTAAATATATTCCTCCCGGGGGATTGAAATATTCACTGAATATCTTTTAAGTGACAGTGTTTTAGTTTTTCATTCAGTTTACAAATAGTTGACCGAATATAAATTTTGTATTGACGTTTTTACTATGCTTACTTATTTTTCATCATGTATACGACTAGTTTATTCGTTTTAGTATTGTTTAATTTATCGTACAGCAGAACGGGATATGTCCAATAAATCGTTTGTAGCTGATACTTCCATTAGACTTTGCTGTCTTCATTGGTATAAATCTTCGTTAAACGGTATCACAAACCAACAAATAAATGATTGCCATGCGTTATAATCACCGACACACTTGACTGAATACCTGTTCAATTTATTCCTCTGAAAGAAATGTAACGTCGATTGGTTTATTTTATTTATACTTTTGTATAGTTATGTAATAATGTATAGTATCGTTAGTTAATTTTGTAAAGCTGCTATTCTTTATTTATAGTTGTTAAGCTAATAGTGTCTACTTGATATTGATAGGTGTTGTTTAGTCAGTGGTGATAAAATACTGTTGTGTAGTTAATATTGTTTAGTGTTGTTAAGTTATAGTTTGTTAGTTAACTATGTTAAATGTTGATTGTTGATATTTTTGTGTATTTAGAGTTAAATTATAATTAATTTGTTTAACCTTATTATGTTGATTTTAATTTCTGCTGTTAAAGTTATAGTTATTATTAGATATTTATTGGTGAAGTTTAGTCAGTATGAACATACAGGTATTTAGTTAATGTTGTTTAGTTGATATCATTTTGTTACTGTTTTTAGGTAATATTATCAAGTTGATACTGTTTGGTGGTTTTAGTCAATATTAAGTTACTATTGTTTAGTGTTGTTTAGTTGGTGTTCTTTACTAATTTCTGTATTCTGTACTACACAGGTAAAATAGCAACGTACGGATGTTTACAAACAGACGTATTAAGGTTGTCTCCGTTTCTATACGTAATACAAACGCTTTACGTGCGTTTTACAGATGTACATCATGTAATTCACCACGGACGTACAATGGACGTAGCTATTTTACCTGTGTCGGTAGACATGTTCATGATTCACGTTTAAGTTTTATCAATGTCACGTATAATGATTCTCCTTGGTACTGCTTGTTCCAACCAGTTTACGATGTTTAAATCTTGAGTCGGTCGCTAATTGTAAACGTGACTTTCATATACACCACTGCATATACAAAATGCGATTAAATGTATTTCGCCAATGCATGTCACGGTCGACAGGTATACAAAAGGATTGTCCATAGTAACACAGTTTATTTTAGGAAATCATTGACGGTATATGTAATTTAGCTTGATCTGTTGTCACATATACATACACAATTTCGTCAGGTGTCCTCGTACTCTCGTTACCGGTATACGTGTACTCTATCTCTGGTAGCCAAGTATCAACGATACAAACACACATGTAATAACTGTTGTCACTTATAAATATAGAGTTTCATCAAGTGCTTTCTTGCTCTAGGTATCAATCTCTGGGATCAAAGATACAAATACGTGATGGATATCATAAACATCGTTTACTCTTTACCATTTATCTCCCCACCGATAACGTTAATTGCGAATGTGTGTTATGCTTTTATTTGTAACGTAATGAGCTATTATCCGATTTCCTTTCTTTCTATTTGGTTTATGTTGTGTGGGCGGTGCATAATCAAAAATAAAGAGCGGTAATCTAATTTATAGATTTTGCATTTTGAAGTTTAATTAACCATGTGGATGAATTCCCAGTCAACTGTATAAAAAGTACTTGCGTGTTGTATAAATATTTGTTGTAAACGAGCCATGTTTGTGTGAACAGGATATAAAAACTTAGCTTTATTTGCATCATTTATGATCTCCCT